ACTAGTGAGGTGTGTTGTCACGGAAGCCAAATGAAGAAAATCATTTAAGGGAGAGAATAATCCATTGTGTCAAATGCTGCAGATAGGCCAGGTGCGGTGGCTCACTCATAATCCTACCACTTTGGGAGGCTGAGGCAGGAGGATCACTTTAGGCCAGGAGTTCGATACCAACCTGAGCAAGAGCAAGACCCCATCTCTACAAAAAATAGAAAAATTAGCTGGGCATGGTGGTGCATGCCTGTGGTCCCAGCTATGCGGAGGCCGAAGCAAGAGGATTATTGAGCAGTTTGAGGCTGCAGTAAGCTATAATGACGCCGCTGCACTCTAGCCTGGGAAACAGAGTGAGACCCTGTCTTAAAAAAAAAAAAAAAAAATGTTGCAGATAGGTTGAATAAGATGAGGACTAAGAACTGACCATTGGATAGAGCATGATCTCTAATTCTCCCCTGCTGTATAATGAAATATCTTGCTCTTTTTCCCCCAGGTTGTAGCAGATACCAATATAAGTGCCATAGCAACTCAGCTTGAAAACATGTCTACAGGCTACCACCTTGGTTCACCCACAGCCGAACACCATCCAGAAGACACAGAGTGAGTATTCTGGATGCAGAGGGCCTGCTATGTGCGTGGGCAAAGCTCTTGAGAACTTTTCCAGATACTAAAGTGGTACTCTCTAAAGCAGAAGGAGGGGAAGGTGCACATTGCTTTTTCTAATTCCTAGAGAATCTCCAAAAAGCACCAGGGTTCTCTTATTTCTCACAAGGCTTTGCTCCACCATATGAGTTCTTAAAAGACCATTGTTGTAGGGCCTGCACACACACTGCATGTGGTCACTTTGACATGGTGCCTATGCCTTCTTCCCTAAGAAACCACAGATTTATAGCCCAGGTGCACCCTGCTTTATTGTGCAAGAAAACATGTTCCCTCAACTTTCTAAACTAAAATCTTGTTCTGAGATTAAATTTTGTTGTTATACTTGCCGGCATGTTTCATTAAAACCGGTCATTACAGTTAAAATTGCTCGTTAAAGCAGCGTTCTCAAACTAGAATGTGCATAGGGATAATTTAAAGAGCATGTTTAAAGATGCTAATTCCCCAGGGGCCCCATTCCTAGAGATTCTGATTAGGTGGTCTACAGTGGATTCCAGAAATCTGATGTTAACAAGTCCCCCAGGGTGATGCTGCTACAGACAGTCAGAGGACCCACACTTTGAGAAATGCGGCCTGAGTTATTCCTCTCGGTACCAGCAGTGCCTAGTCGCTAGAAGGTGCTCAATAAATGTTTGTTGATTGATCTGGATGATTCATTTGAAGGATCTCATGACCACAGCCATTCCCAACTTTTTCCTGGTAGTTCATCAACTTAAATGGTAGCTTCAAGTTTATTTTTCTTGAGGAAAGGGTATTAAATTAAGCTAATTCTACTTCTTTCTCATTAAAAAAGTAATAAGTACATGCCATTAAAATATAACAAAAATATAGAAGTATAACATTTTCAAGTTACAATGGCTCTTTCCTTTAAAAACAAAAAAAAGAAAATCAGGACCTTTATAGGAAGAGTAGTGTGTCTTTAGCATCCTTTGATGTGGCTATGGAAATACAGAGATCTCCTTGTAATCTTGATTTCTTTGCTACAATTACACAACTTCTGGCAGGTTGGGAACCGTGAGCATAAAGAAATCAAAAAATTGCTCATGGCCAGGTGCAGTGGCTCATTCCTGTAATCCTAACACTTTGGAAGGCTGAGGCGGGAGGATCACTTGAGTCCAGGAGTTCGAGACCAGCCTGAGCAAGAGTGAGACCCTGTCTGTACAAAAACTAGAAAATTGGCCAGACGTGGTGGTGCATGCCTATAGCCCTAGTTACCCGGGAGGCTGAGGCAGGAGGATCACCTGAACCCAGGGGTTCAAGGTAGCAGTGAGCTATGATGACACCACTGCACGGGACACAGAGCAAGACTCTGGGGAAAAAAAAAAAAAAATCAGTCACGCATAATCCCACCACTGCTAACGTTTGGAGATTTTGTTTTTTACTAGGCTTCTATATGAAAGTATTAATAAATGAAAACCAGTTGATTGAAACTGTTTTGACATTGTGAAATAAATGGAGGCAAACTCCATGCGATGTTGCCAGTTGAGAAGTAGAGTCACATTCCACCTTCTCCCCCTGAAAACACCTCCCTGGCTGTAAATAGGCACAATTATGAAGGTCTCTAATGATGCGGTGGCCCCAGGAGCTAGCTCTAGAACAATGGCTTTGGGCATTGAGGTTCCCATTTCAATATCTTTGGAAATGGGGACTGTGTTTGAAAGAGGAAACATGAATCACATTCGTGTCCAGCCAGCAGGCCATTACTGAGAGCGCTGCTAAGGCCACGAAGTGGTGAAAATAGAGCCGTGCTCATGACGTCATTACTATTCAGCCATGGGGGATAGCTCATCATTATTTCAACAGATATGTATTGAGCGCTCTTCTAAGGCCAGACACTGTACAAGTGCTCGGTCCCGAGGACTCAAACTTAGAAATGTAAGTAAAGGTATTGCCCCAGTCCTCAGGGAGCTGCCAGAGAATTGGAAAAACAGACCCATAAATCCATGGTTATAAAGGAGTTGATAACTGTAGGACCACTAAGTTCATTGAGAGAGGGTCCTGTGAAACCATAGATATGGGGCATAACTCAAATAGAGAAAGGCTAATGCTTGAGTTGAGTTTTAAAAGAATTGTAATAAGCAGGGTGGTCTTCAAAACAGTTAACAATTTAAATGGCTTAGACCATCAGCAATTACTGTGGACGCCTGCTAGAAAAAACCAGAGTAAGTACATCAACAAACAACTGGAATCCGTGTGAACCAGCTGAAAATCAACCCTAAAGTAAGCCAGGCAAAATTGAGGAAGTGGAGAGGGGAGAATGTTCTAGTTAGACAGAACAGCAGGTTCAAAGGTCCCCATTCTGCAGATTTCTCTAAGTACATGAATGGCCGAGTTTATATCCAATGACTGTGCCTCTCAGACATGCATGTTGCCATGAAACAAGTGATGCTGCCGCATACAAGCATGAGCCTCCTACCCACAAATGAGACAGGGTCCGGGGTGCCAGGGTTCCTCTAGGTTTCTACTCTTTGGACAGTAGCCATCGGGAATAAGAAACTGGCATCAGCTAAGCTTAGATTTAGTCACTTGAGTCCACCTAGGTAATTTAATTTTTAGCCATGTTGTTTCTGAGAGAGAAGACTTCCACACTGGACGAAGCTTTGAAAATCTAGATTATACATTTGAAACAGATTTTCTTTATCCATTTTGCCTCAGCCTGGTTTCTCTCCTCTGTCCTGGCTTTCATTTCTCATGTACACAGTCATGATCCTGAGTTTGTGACAAGCACTGTGCATTGTGCTGGGAACACTCAGATGACTAAGACTTAAGGAGTTCACAGTCTGGTAGAGGAGAAAGATGGTTAATTACAATACGATGTAGTAAGTGCCAGAATGGAAATCTGGACCAGTGCAGAGGGAGCACAGAGAAGGATGTGACTCATCCTCCCGAGGGAGTGAGGAGAGGCTCACGGTGGAGGTGAGCTTTCAGGAATGAGTTCCCACCCTGGGTGAGGTGTGGAAGAGTGGGTTAGTGGCCAGGGCATTCAGGCAGAAAAGGAGCCACAGTTTCCTGAGCTATCAACAGGCTGCTGTTACCGGTTAGGCACGCAAGTCCACCTGAGGACTGGCAGGTTCCCGCTGTGCTAAGGTGACGCTACCTCTGTCTCCATGCACTTCCTTCAAGGATGGGAAGACAGCTTTCTTCAGCTTTAAACAGTAAGTTTAAGAGTTAAAAATTAAGCCTATAGAAGAGTGCTTTGACAATTTCAGCATCATGGCTTTATTTTTAATTAAAAAGCAATGGGGCCGGGCACGGTGGCTCACGCCTGTAATCCTAGCACTCTGGGAGGCCGAGGCGGGCGGATTGTTTGAGCTCAGGAGTTCGAGACCAGCCTGAGCAAGAGCGAGACCCCATCTCTACTAAAAATAGAAAGAAATTACTCAGACAACTAAAAACAT